GGCGACATGCAGGTATGTGAGGGGGTGTCACACGGAGGTGGGGAGAGACCTGTTCCTCCCTGCAGAGGAAGGCAGGATGTGCTTCAACAGAGCCAAGCTCAGGGAACCAAGGTTCAATTTGGATGCCAGGAAGTACTTTCTGACGGTTAAGACCCTGAGGGTGTGGAATGGGCTTCCACAGGAGGTGGTTGAGGCCCCACTGGGGAGGGTGCTCAAGGATAGGTTGGACATGCATGGTGGGCACTGCATGAGCAGAGGTGGCTGGAGCCGGGGGTCAGACTAGATGGACCAGGAGGCCCCTTCTGACTTGCTTAGTTTCTATGTTTCCTTTTGCACCTTAACAGGGGACCCAAGATCCAGAAGCCCAACAGGTCTATGAAGCTGGTTCACCAAACAGGAAATGCTGTTAATCATCAGAGAGAAACTGACTCCTGGATTAGCTGAGATCGCTCCATCTTGTTTATGGACTGAATCATGGCTTCCACATACTTGTTCAGCATGGAAGCGGCTGATTTCATCACCGCTGGTTTATTTCTACAGTGCTTGCCTTCCAAAAAATGAATGGAGCAGGCTGCCATGTGCACTGGATTCATGATGGCACACCAAATTATTGTGCCCAGTGGTTTATAAACATATTATGCGGTAGGTGGAACAGGGTGGAACTTCATGTATAATCAGCCAGAGAAGCACAGAGGGATATGTTCCAAGAATGACTCTCTGCAAGGGAGTGAAACCAGCATTAAGCTGCCCTGCTCATTCCTATTATGGGAGCTCAATTATCTTATCCTATATCCTTATAATTATCCTAATTATCTTTTGATATCTGCATGCGGCATCCTGCTAAAGGTTTTCAAGAATTTTAAGTAGTTCAGAAAACAGTGGCCAGATGGCAGTGGTCATATATGAGTTGAATATATGAATTGTGCCTTGATGGTAAAAGAGCCTCATCAGGGCACAATGCAAACAGTGCAATTCTATATATGTTTATTCAGAATTAAGTCCAACTCTTTTCAGTACAGAGTACAGAGTACTGGACAACGGACTAAATTCTAGGGTTGATACGTAACTTTTTAAGCAGATTGGAATAATTCTATGTTAAGGACAGTCTTTGCCTATAGGAAATTGCCTGTCAGCTTCTTCAAGGACTGCCGTAGTTCAGAATCAGGTGAGTGGCTACTGGAGATGGAGAATCAAAGAGAAATCACTCCAGAAATCCCTTTGGATTATGTTCACCTTCTACATCAGGGCTTCCCAAAGCACTTCCAATATCTCCTGGAAAGGAGTCCACAATGGGCTCCTGCCATTAAAACAAAATCTTCCCAATTTTTAAAACCTTGTCCATGGATTTGTATATATCAATGAATATATACGAAATGTACATTGTATGCTTCCTAGCAATGATACATAGGTATCAACAAAAGTGGACCAACTATCCAAATTATTTGAAGGTGGTACCTACATCCCACCTGTTCAGTCTTGGAAGCACTATCAGGTCTTCGCTCCTTTGCATTAGAGGAGATGAGGGTTTATCCTTCAAATGTTGTAATATCAGTTTCTATCTGTCCAAATGGCATGGAAAATCCATCTACTCTGACCATTTCTTAAATTCCATTTAAATGATTTAAAAGAAGGTATACATCACTAAATATTAAATTCTGTTCCAGTATAAAATTTACCTGTTTAATACCCTGCTCTCAAGAGAAGCAAGTGCTGGATATGTCCAAAACATTTAAAAGGAACATTTGCTGAACTGTGCCACCAGCAATTAGACAAGTTAAGCAGTCCCTTATGACAGAGCTAGTACAGCGTCCGATGCACCTGAAACAAGTTT